AAAAGAACTATGGGGTGGGGAGAATTACAATTTTGAAACTGTTCATTTTTGACTGATATTCTATCCTTTCATTGGCTGAAATTCTACACCACAACATGCACCAAATAAGTCTGATGATGTCACTAGCCACTGCCATTTAAAAAAAAAAATGTTGGACATTGCCCTTCTCCCTTGGGACCCCCTGCGTTGTGGGAAAGCCACTGGAGGACATGGGATTAATACTGTTGTTTTATTTTATTTCAGCACTGTTATTAGCTGCCCAGAGTAGACTTTGGTCTAAATGGGCAGGATATTAATTAATTAAATAATTGTCCAAAAATTGCCACTGCCAGTAAAGTCATCCCAATGGTGGCAATTTTTAGAAATTAAAGACTCTCTTCCCCCTGCATCCTGTGGCCCCAAACAGCTTTCCCATGATAAAGGGGAATTCTGCGGGAGCCTTAGGACCTGGATTTCACCTAGTATGTTACTATACTGATTTTATATACATACCCCAAAACAGAATTATTTCCCCTAGAAATTTTTCCATCCCACTTGATTGATGGCCACTCCTCATACGTGTTTTTCTTTTCAACCTGTGGATGATTTTGAAGAAATCTATTGGGCCAGCAGAGAGGGAAACTAACAGAGAAAACCATCCCTCTGTTTATTTTGCCATGAACCTCCTCACCAGAATCATCAGATTCTGGTCATTCAAAAAATTTGTTTTCTTACCATGCCAATTCTTAACCATGAACAGACTGGCATCCCCATCTCATTTTCAACTCCTGCACTATTTGGTCTTCGCAATGCCTATGTTAGCAATTTTACCATCTCATTTTGCTAACTTTTAATTATCCTTTCTGCCCATCTTTGCCTGCAGTGACAACACCTTTACAAGTGAAAAAGGAATGCAAAGCCTTTTCATCCCACAGTCTGCTCACTCTACTAGCTAGCTGTGGAGGACTGCAAAGCCCTGCAGTCATCATCTGCCTCCCTCCCTGAGCAAAAAAGATGATCTTAATGGTATTCAAGAGAGGTCTGAATTTGTCCTAGGGCCCCTTCCAACACTCCCAGGCTCCTGCAGGTTCAGAGTGAGTCAGTGACCAGGCCAAAGGATCAACTCAAGGTCCGTTGCTTAGCAACGCTTGCCAGGAAGCTTAGGAGAAGCAGGAAGCAGCTGCAGCTGCCATAAGGGCTTAGAAGCTGTTTTTAGAATTCCTCCTTTAAGGTGTCCATCTTTCTTTTTCTTCTAGCATAAATAAAATGTACAGAACTTGGATAAAGAACAGGGATGCGGTTAGAATTCCCAGTACAGCAAACTGGCTGGTGGATAAAGTGCATTGCAATTCAAAGAAGTGGTACCCTTAAAAGCATCGGGATATGCGGCCTCACCCCAAATCCACTCTGAAATATGGAAAATCCCCATCCTCTTGCTGTAGCCATCAGCTCAGTGGGCAGACAGTTACTTCAAAGCTAGGAGACAACCTCCTCAGTTTATCAGATTCAGAAATATCTGGGTTGGTGGCAGGATCTAGAAAACCCCTGGGAATTATTCTTTAGCACTTTCTTTGCATGGCCATTGTGGCAGCACTGATAGTAGCACTGACAGCCAGGCTACACAGAAAATTATGAGTGTCCTTATTATTTTTAATTTCTACAGCTACAGATATGCTTTTCCTTTGCTGTTGGAAACATAAATTATTCCTCAAATAGCAGCTGTTAGCATAGCAGTACTATAAGACTGCCCTCCCCATTAACTGTTTTGAGTAATCAAATACTTGCATTTCCCACATGCTCACAGAATGCAACAGAGAAGGTAAGCATATATTCCAGCCTATTATGCACTGCAGAATCAGTTTACTCAGTTTGGGTCTCTTTTGGAGTGATGGACTTTTCCTTCTCCCCTTTTCCAGACCAATGACTCAGCAAATTAGAACACGAATATAATTTAGCAATACAGCAGTTTTTGAAAGATACCAATCCTGCATATCAATCCAGCATGCAAAGCAATCCCGGCCTCCTCATCAGTATCCATTCCAATCTGATGCTAATTGAAAAAGTCTGAATGTGGCTAATAATGGTGCTAGGTTTTCCCAATCTTGGTGCAAGACCATGTTGTCTCAATTGGAATTGTGATGTCTAAAGCTTTCACAGAAAATACTGTAAGAAGGACCAAAGACAGAAAATAGCTCCCATAGCCCTCTTATCTGCAACAAAATATAGATTAGATGCAATCAGAATATACTTATTTTCCAGGTAGCAGTTCTTTTAAACATTAGCCAACTGCCCAACTGACAGAGTGATCACTCAGAATCTGGCAAAAAGGGTTATGATCCACAGAAGGAGCCTACCTCTCTCAAAGACAAAGCTACAAACAGTTGCAGCCATACGTGCTACACCTCTCTATCATCTCTTTGGGAATGGAGGAATGACTGAGGAGATGCAAGATCTTCTGTTACCCTATTCAACAGAAACATCTAGCTTAGCTATTAACACCAGCAGAAACATGTTATATGTGCTTCTCACGTGTTTGGAGCTCAAGCTTGGAGAAGCTATTCCCTGTCTTCTTGGGTCTGCTTTCCTACTTACTGCCTCTTATAAGTGTCAGACACACACAACAGTACACATCTTTGCAACAGCTACAGATTTGGGTTTTTAATGATACAGGTATTTTCTCTGGATTGCAACTTGGTAACTTTGCAACTCCGGAATTAGCAAAGAACTCATGAGTGGGTTGTATTAATCTAGGCACATCTGTACAGATGTATTTCCACATAGATGGAAAACTGCAGAATGCCTCTTGAACCCCTTGATGGGCAGGAGGTATAGACAAGGCATTGTAGGGAAGAAAAACACAAGGGAGGAAAAGGTTAAGCATATCATTCAGCCACCACTTCTCTTTTCTTAATCATCAGTGATCAACTCGGTAAGCATTGCTTGTGTTCTTGACAAGGAGAAGCCATCATAGCTTTGGTGGGTACATTTGTCTATCATGTACAGTTCCACTGGTCCGACATATATTGCCTTTCTTTAAGAATATATTCAAAATACTGGCTGGAATCCACTTGAAGAATTTCACTGCCATAGCCCACTGGTCCGACAAACATTTACTATTTTATATTGCCTTTCTTTAAGAATATATTCAAAATACTGGCTGGAATCCACTTGAAGAATTCCACTGCCATAGCTCCATTGGCATAAATATCACTGGTGAATTGGCGCTAGTTATGAAGCTGGCATTTGCATTTGGGGTTACAGTGCACTGAGTCACACAACTTTTGCACAACACCAAATGCAAGCACCAGCTTCTTAACTACTGGCAATTTACCATTGAATTTTTATGCCAATGGACTTCCAGTAATTGGATTCTGGCTCCTCTCTTCATTCTCCTCTAAAAATAAATAACACTTGGAAATAATGAATTGTGTCTTGGGTAGACAGGACATAATTTGCAGAGCAATTTTGAGAACCTGCAAGGGAAAATGAGCGAACTGCTTTCCAAAAAAAGCCTCTCTACACATAATTCTTACATTCTTCTGTACTGTGAGGTGTGAATTATCAACACAGACCCCTCCTTCAGAGGGGAAACTGATATATAATCAAACTAAAATCTATATTTTGACTTGGAGGAGCTAAACATTCTGAACATTTCCGTTTATTGGCAGCAGGTAGTCCTTGTCTTGTTCTGCTGGCATTTCAGGTTCATCTGATTATTCACTCCCCTATTCTTCCCTTTGAGATCTTAAGTGACACACTTGTCACATGCTACTTCATTGTGTTTAGAACAATCTCTTTCAAATTAAAAGGGAGACATGGAGATGCTCTTTGCTTAGGCAGACTTAGCTGATCTTTACTAAGTCACATCTTATTGGCAGGAAGCGGTTAACAGTGGTTATGAGCAGGCACTTTCATTAATTTTAGCTATAAGGTAAATTCAAGGCAGGTCAACATCTGTGAGGACACATGCCATCCCCCTCCAAAGGAGGCTTGTAGACAATAACCATCCTGCTCAATTTAGCAGGGACTCTCTCTTTTCTGCAAAAGATCATCATGGTAAGTGGGATTCCGTGGCCAGTGACATTCATTTTCCATAAGCTTATTTATCAATGAGAAAATACTTTTCAAATAACTCAAGTAGCACCTTGAGTCTTAAGAATTATAATGGAGTGCCCTACAATACACAGACATAGTTATTACCCTACACCAAGTGCCCTAAATGTATTTAACATGCAGCTGGTCTTTCAGTCTTCTGTGTCTCCAGTTAAAAAGATCTTGGATAACTGGGCTGGAAAACAATATTGCCTTACTGAGCCAGCAGCAGCTAAAGGAAGAAGTATTGAATTAGGTGGGCCACTAGTTTGTCTCAATATAAAGTGACTTAAAATACCAAATCATAAATAACCTACATTCATAACTGGTCAATAGAGATCACTAGAAAGGACCCTTGAGTTCATCAAGTTCTTTCTTTCTTTCTTTCTTTTTCTTTCTTTCTTTCTTTCTTTCTTTCTTTCTTTCTTTCTTTTTCTTTCTTTCTTTCTTTTTCAGTAAAACGCCCTCTTCTCTTTTATATCATGCTAACAATACTGAAAGATGATTAGTATTACAGTTTTTTTGAAGTAAACAAACCTAATTGGCTACAATAAACATATATAACATTATAATTTGACATCTGTTGAGGATTTTCTCCTCTTCAACTGCCTAAGAGAGAAGAATTAAGTCCACAGAAAGCATCTGAAGTAATAAACCTTTGTCTGGATTGTACCACTTCTGACTAATGCTCACTCATAGCTGAAAAGGGACAAACACATATATGCAGATATTCTGCTACACCACATTATATCACCATGGTGGTGGTACAACGGACAATAGTGCAACCCTATGCATGTTTACTCAGATTGCGCCCTGCTGAGTTCAGTATGGGTTACTCTTAGGAAAATGGGTATAGGACTGCAGCCCAGAAGTCTGACTTAAAAGTCACAAAGTCATTGGTTCAAAAGTTAGCTCTGCCATGAACTCACCAAGTGGCCTTAAGCAGACTTCCTTCAGCCTTCCATCTGTAATAAGGGAATAATAATACCAACATAACTGTACAGCGTTGTTGTACGGATTACAAGATAGCAGGTGTGAAATGAACAGTCAAAACACTGTATACAGTATTATAATTATTAAAGAACAAATTGCCATCATTTGGGAAAAGTTTAGGCTACCACCTTTCTCACTGAAATACTACTTTGCATATGCAGAGATAGCTCTATGGGTTGGGTACCTTGCTGTGGAGGTAGAGGCTGGGAATCTGGTTCCTCACTGTGCCTATTGGGGGAAGAGCCAGCCTGCATGGCCTTGGGCAAGCTGCACAGCCCCAGAATGCCCTCAGAATAAGGAGACTGGTAAGCCACTTCTGAGAACTCTACACCTAAAAAAAAACTCTGTAAAGGGTCACTACAGGTTGGAATGGAGCTTGATGATATGTAATTATTATTGTTATCCTGTGAAGAAGGTTACATACATGAGTCCCTACATGCAGCCTGACACCATGCAGTCCAGACACAGACTGACCTTCTGTATATGAAAAGTTAAAGTAAGGACTTAGAACTACCCTAGGCAACATGGGATGGCGGGCTAATCTCGGACAATGTCTCTTCCAATTTCTAATAATAACTGTCTGTATGTGTTATGTTGCATAAAGACTGAGGCCATGTGAAATATAAAAGGTAAGAACTGCCAACAGATACAAACCCCTGAACACTTCCACATTCAGTCCTCATAAACTGGAATTGTAATTCCACACAGAGCAGCTGTGGGGGAGCTATTACGCTGCCTGACCAAACCCAATTACCTCCAGTGCAGCAGAAGGCTTCTTTTTAAGTTCCTCACATTTTCGGAATTTGCAAATCTGGTGCCCAGTTTTACGGTTCCTACAACTGCTGCACTGCTCACAGTTTATCCGTCTTCGGCAAGGAGGGCACATGCCACATCGTTTCCGTTTCTTTTTCCCTGAATTGATGGCAGATGCCAATTCGTTCTGCATTGGATACTCTGCTAAGCCAGCCATATGGAGCGCACTCTCTGCTAGAAACACACCAGCAGGGGTCATAATAAAAAGGCCAGGGTTGATAGGAAATGCCCCCAGGTAAGGAAAATCGGACGGGCTGTTCATTGTTTCTGCAGCTGAGACAGCTTCCATGTCCGAGAGGCCCGTCCCATGGTCATTAGGCAAAGGAATGTGCTCCTGGACGACTCTTTTCAGCAGCTCCGTGGACTGAGCAAACTGTTGCAGGATGTTCTGTCCTTCTGGAGAAAGATCTGATTTGCTCAGCATGTCAGAGATGTTTTTGTGCTTTGAGGTAGAATTACTTTTATCCATAGTTGCTTCGTTGCCATTGGGTATGGGGGCAGCTTTCTCTGAATGTTCGCTTATGGAGCTGGTGCTACCAAAAGCAGAGTAGTGGGAGAGTGGACGGGACTTCTTCAGGCTTTTGTTTAAAGGTTCACTTATGATTCCACTTTTGTTTCTCCTCTCTAAATTGATCGAGGGCTGAGAGTCCTCTGAGGTGTTGCTTTTTTCCAAAAGGCCTGGCTTGATACCAGTGTCTTGGTGAGAGCCAGGATCAGACATCTTTTTTAAAAAAAGAGATTAGATAAAACAAGACCCGGGTCAATTGTGGAAAATAATCAACCACCACAAAATTAGTAACACCAATGACCCAATATATATATAATAATAATGTGGAGGGGATGAAGTGTGTCTTCAGTGCAATCTCAGGGCCATTACAACATCTCCTGCAGGCTTTCTATGTAACATACGGCCTCTGAAAGTTAAAACAGAAAAGGAGAGAGAAATTAGTGAAGCGTGAGTAGCTGGCTAGAAATGCAACCAGAATCCATAGCGGCTCAGATTCAGATTCCTCCCTAGCCCCCGCCCCCGCCCCATTTTGGCAAAGTCAGCTCTGCTTCCTCTTCCCTCCACACTCTCAGTTTGCCAACATCGTCAGTCTCATGTAATGTGCATGTACTACAGAGCTAAACCAAAGTTGGTCCACAAGTAACACCAATGACCCAAAAAGTGGCAATTTCTGGAAGCCCAGTTCTGAGAGGCATTTTCATACCTCCAACATTCACCTGTCCATCATTAAAAATCTCAGCACTACAGGAAATCTTATTCATAAAAGTCTAGCTACTGTTCAATTAAGCTGTTTATAATTAGTTTTACTATTATTTTTCATTTATTAAAATAATTTCTGTGACAACTGGTTTCTACATTTGACACAAGGGAAAAGTTGTAGCTATGTTTGGCCTCCAGACCTTCCCAAGTTCAAATCCTGGCATCTACAGGTAGAGCTGGGAAAGACACACATCTGAAACCCCAGAAGGGATACAAATGGATGTGTATCTGTCCTAAATCAGTATCATTTTTTTCCTTGAAGCTGGGTGGTGGGAGTCCAAAGCAAACAAAAGGAGAAATGCATAATCCACAAGAGTGTAATCTTGCAGAAGAAAGACTCCAGAATTTATAGCATTAACAACAGAATCATAGAATAACGAAGTTGGAAGGGGCCTATAAGGCCATCAGATCCAACCCCGTGCTCAAGGCAGGAATCCAGATTGAAGTATACCTGACAGATGGTTGTCTAATTTTCTCTTGAATGCCTCCAGCTTTGGAGCACTCACCACTTCCTGAGGTAATTGGTTCTATTGTTGTACTGCTCTGATTACTGTATGTTTCATTTTTAAAAAAAGAGTAGTTCATACTCTAATGATCTAGAAGTCTCTTTGGACCAAAAATGCGGAAGCCATACATATAGCCATGTTCAATCTTAAAACAAAAGCAACACAGATTCAGTTCACAAATGGCAGCATCACATCCATAAAAAACAAAATTCTGAATGGAGGACATAAAAATCAGCAACTAGTTTTTGCATTAACCCTTACTCATTTCTGGATGAGGATCAGATGTGCGGTTCTGATGTATCTGGGAGCCAAACCCCACAACCCTCAAACAGATCTCAGGACATCTAAGACTTTAAGAGACCCCCCCCCATCTTAAAAAAAAGTGAATGGGGCAATAGTTGAAGATGGCACAACCTTCTGATTCACTCACAGGGGTTTCTTGATAATACTAGGGTCCCACACTCCAAGGTGCTCCCACACTCCAAAGTGCTCAGATGTGCTTCTGATGGAAATATGCACATGTGTCCATTTTAAAAATGTCAAGTTGCACTGAAAGTCTCAGAAAATTCCATTATCTCTCTAGCCACTTGGAGAACGGATGTCTGAAACCAGAGTGGTTATTGAGATAGTACAACTTAAAATGTCAATTTCAGATACTTCATTCGCCCCATGGACAAATGACTACTCCCTCCTCTCTTTATTCTATTCATGCAGACACTCTGGAGGGGGGGGGGCTAAAACTGGTTGCAGGGAGAAAGGAATTGAGTAAACCTCTGAGGTGGTTTAGCACCTCATTCTGTGATCACACAGGCTGGCTTTTACTCACGCCTCTTCCACGTGAATCTCACGTCACCCAATAATGGTCCATGCCACTGCTGCAGGCACACTCTGTTCAGACTCTTGAAAAATGATTGTAAAAAGGATCAACGAAACCCACACTGAAAATACCATTTTGCTGAATGATCCCAAAGGTCAACCAAAGTTGCCACACAGAGACAGGCACTGCTTTCAAGACACAACAGGTTTAAATGGTCAGCTACCTTAGCACTGTGTTTGACCTTCTTTAATTCCACCTTTCATGATACCTCCAAGATTGGCCTTCCAAGCTGGTGGCTTTCAGGTGCATTAAACTGTAGCTGTGCTGACTATGTAATGGTGGGAGGACACCCAAGCTAAGCATGGTTGTTCTAGGAAGTCACAACTACTTTCAATGGTTACAAATCACATAAACTTGATGCAACCAGGGAAACAAAAAAAAAAGCTCTGCTGAAATACAACTTTAATACAAGCAGCTCTACCAATCCAAATGCACTCACTTGCTCTAGTCACACCCTTGCTCAGCGAGAGATGCTTCTTTCCTTCTCCCTCTCTCTCAGTGAGATAGAGAGGGGATGCTTTTGTTCGGCTACATGACTTTGCTCTGGCCTGTTGTTCCAAATCACAGTGAGATGGAACAACCTCTTCCCATGCTTTTCCTAGCTAGAAGTAAGGCTTCGTATGACATACTGCCGAGCTTTTCATTGTAAAGCTCATTTGCAAGCTCCAAAACCCAACATGATGCGAAATATGCACCCCAACACACCTTCTCCTAACCCTCCGGCACATACAAACCTCTTGGAAAAGAGAGATCAAGTCAGTGGCAAACAGCAATACAGCTGGGCTGATCTAGCTTGTCAGGGATGAAAACTGGAAATCCAAGATAACAGCAGCGCTCTCTCCCTTTCCACAGAGGTTTACTTCCACCTGCACTGGCAGTTTATTAGTGTACAGGAAATTAGGGAGCATCACAATGCGTGGCCCAAAGCCTCCCAGCGGAACTGCATAAATGTGAAATGATGAAAAATCTGCCTTCGAAACAGCATCAAGGACTTCTATGAGGACAGAAGGCACTCAGCAGCAGACATCATGCCCAAAATGAGAAAGGTACAGAGGGCTATTCTGTTGATCCCTGCTCTAAGGTTTACCCATGTTAGGAATGCCTAATCAATTAAGAGGCCTTGGCCTTCATCAAAATATTTCTAAATTCTAAAAACATCAAGTGTTGAATTCCTCCAGAAATTCTGGGATGTTTCTCAGGAAAAGAAAGGGCAGTCCCATGGATGTACCGCAGCGGCTTGGAAGTTAAGTAATTGCTCTAGCCATGTCACTCATTCCATCCTCATACCACTCATTAGTTTGGCCCAGCTGTGGGTGAAACAGCTTCTGAATTCATGGGGGAATAATCCACCACTTTGCAGCATTTTCATCTCATTTACCCCATCAACCAATCATAAATCAAACTGATGCTTACAAGTTATCAGTGTTATTTCTGAGAGCTATAGCCATTCAGTTCTTTTAAAAAGACAGGAACTGAACATCTAGATATATGGAGTCTGCACTTCCTTATGGTTTCGCAGGACTCTAATATACCATAACTGGGATCCAATTGATTATATGTTTAGCTAAGCCAAAAACCAACTATATTGTCAGCATATAAGACGCAGGAGTTGGTTTTTACTGGGTGCCAAATGCTCAGGGTGAGTTACAACATACCTTTCATGGCCTTTTTCAATACAAGAACCTTATAAGATAGGTTAAGAAATTGGCCAGAGAGACTCAGCTCAAGCACCATCTAATGAACTTGAGAACTGAGCTAGAATTTGATCCCTTCTCAACATGAATGTTCTGCCACATGCACCTGTCAACACTTCAGATACTCCACCATGTCTACCACTTTGCAAAGCAAGGGTGTGAGCAGGCTCAGGTCTTCAGTTACTGTCTTGCAAAGTAGAAGTGAGGGCTATGCATCATATGACCTCTGTGAAGAAAGTAGTGCAAATACAAATAAGCAGTAACCATCTTGGCTTGCAATGCCATGTTGCCTCTGATAATCATTATCTTTTGGTAGCTGCAAAATAAGAGACAGGAAAGACCTTACCTTTGACCTTGCCCTAGGCTGCCAAGCCTCACCGCTTCTGAGTGCCACCAAATCTCAGTACAAAATCATACTAGCAACAGGTTCCTTCCATTTTCCCAAGTGAACCATCCAAAATTCAATTGATTTATGGGCCCTCAACAAAATACTGAGAAATTGCTTGAAGTTTACACTACATACCAAAAGAGAATCACTGACAGATTCCAGGGTGTCAACATCATGAATCTGTGGCACTATGATCAGAAAATCTAACTCTTCCCAAAAGCATTCCAGCAACAAAATCTTGCTTCCACATTTGGTTCTACCACTTCATTTAATGAGAAGACAGGCCTCATTAAACCATTCTTTGGAGATTCCCTTTGCATCTGAGTAACTTTTGAGACCTTTGATGTGCAATCTGCAGAGCCACTCCAGGGCTGGAGATAGCTCAACTACACTCCCTGAGCTAGGTGTCAGAAAAGGTGCATACTGGAAACAAAACAACAACATCCTTCATTATTCTTGTCTGGAAAAAAAGGTACACACTCAGAGAGAGGACTTATTTGTGCACAACTAGCTCCTTGACAATCAAAAAGTGTTCTGCATTTAGAGAAGCATTACATGTTTAGAATGGTCATATACATCCTGGTAAGATAAAACACAGAACTGGTCAGAGAAGATAATGCTCTGAGCCACATCTACAAGGAGCTGAAAAGTAAAGGGGGGGAAATTAGCCATCACCATTGCTATCCCACAGACAGATGTAAGCCATTTCCATCTATGTAACATAACTTCTAAGAAATTCCCTTCTGCCCTGTCAGCAAAAGCAGACTAGGGTGACAGAGTTCTTCAGCAAGCTTTCAAAGTATCTTTCCTTTCTGGACCTCTAAAAGATGCTGTAAACTTGATTTTAAAATATCTTGAACCAAAAGAACAGAAAAATGTGAGGAGAAAGAACTGACAGAATTCAAAGAGGTTGAAGGGAACAGAAAAGGAAAATCAGGATGCAGAGTTCCTTTACTATTGATGACAGATAAAGACACACACACACACAGACAAAAATCTCTATCTGGAGAATAATAATTCCTACAACTCCCATGCTCTTGGCTAACTGCCCTAGACCATTCATGATGGGTCTCTATCTGGAGAATACAGTGGGGTCTTGACTTGAGAACTTAATCCGTATTGGAAGGCGGTTCTCAAGTCAAAAAGTTCTCAAGTCAAATCTGCATTTCCCATAGGAATGCATTGAAAACCATTTGATCCGTATCTGCTCTTTTCCGTCCATAGAAACTAATGGAAAGCTGCTATTCCACCTTCGACCACTAGAGGGGGATATTTTGTTTCTTTTTTTCTTAGGTCAAGAAAGGTTCAGGGAAGGCAGGGAAAATACAGTCCAGGCAGTACAGTACCAGGTAGTCTGAAGACTGTCTCCCAATCCACTCTCTAAACGATGGGAGGAGTGAGGAAGCAGACAGGCACCCTTTTCACTGGCCAACAGTTAACTGAAAGTTCAAATTTTGCACTTTCCCTGCCTCCCACGTGGGTTTTTTTCAGTTCTTAACTCAAATCTAAGTACTTAAGTCAAGTCAATATTTTCCTATGAGAGCGGTTCTTAAGTCAAAATGTTCTTAACTCGAGCCATTCTTAAGTCAAGACCCCACTGTAATAATTCCTACAACTCCCATGCTCTTAGCTAACTGCCCTAGACCATTCATGATGGGTGCACACTTTGTATCTTCTGGGGCTCAAGATTGTCTCTGCTGCTGCTGAACTAGGGAGATAAAGTGTTTGCTGTTATTTGTGCATCTTTGTCCTTTAGGTAAAGGTTCTCCTTGACATTTAGCCCAGTCGTGTCCGACTCTAAGGGGCTTTGCTCATCCCCGTTTCCAAGCCGTAGAGCCAGCTTTTGCCCATAGACAGTTTCCGTGGTCACGTGGCCAGCGCAACTAGACATGGAATGCTATTACCTTCCCACCATGGTGGTACCTATTTATCTACTTGCATTTTTATATGCTTTCAAACTGCTAGATTGGCAGGAGCTGGGACAAGCGACGGGAACTCATTCCGTCACATGGATTCAATCGTACGACTGCAGGTCTTCTGACCTTGCAGCACAGGGGCTTCTGTGGTTTAACCCGCAGCAGCACCACGTCCTTTAGGAAAAAGCAAACGGGATCAATCTTTTGCAAGCTATTATCTCTTTCAATATGTTTCAGCCTCTCCTTTTCCCTATGATTGTGAACGTACATCTAGGTTTGTGGGGCTTTTACCCCACAATAACCAGTGATGCACACCACAAATTATCCAATTGTACCTCTGGGGCCAGGTGAAAGACAATTAAACACATGTCTAGATTTAGTCATGTAATTTACCATATTCTTCCATGTATAAGACTATTGTCTAAAATCTTTAGACTGAAAATTGAGGGTCATCTTATACACAGAAGTAAGCTGAGTAGAAAAAATCAAGTGGAGGGGAAACCAGGGATCAAAGTGATCCTGCAGGGCTTTGATCCCTGCTTTCCTCTCCATTTGCTAAGCCTTAGCAAAAGGAAAGCAGGGATCAAAATGCTGCAGGATCGCTTTGATCCCTGATTTCCCCTCTGTTTGCTAAGCCCCATGGGGCTTAGCAAAAGGAGGGGGAAGTATCAAAGCAATCCCATGGCTGAATAAGGGAGAAAGGGATCAAAACGACTGTGCAGTTGTGGAATTGCTTTGATCTCTTTCCCCCTCCTTTTGCTAAGCCACGCGGGCTCAGCACAAAGGGAGAAAGCATCCTGCAGCACTTTGATCCTTTTTATCCTAGATTTGCTAAGCCCCACTTAGATTTCTTAATTTTGGGTTAGAAAAGTGGCGGGTGTCTTATACATGGGAGCGTCTTATACACGGAAAAATACGGTATTTAAAGTTCATAAGGCATTTGACAAATTGAATCTAAAAGAACCTACCTTAGGATTTCAGCTCAAACAAAAACAAAAAAACAGATGGATGGCCTGTTCTTCTATTGAGGACAGCAGACTATACGGTACTTCATATGAAATCCATCAACATGATCATGGGTCCTTCCCTACATATCGGAAAACAGAAGAATATAACCACTGTAGCTCCAATCATGGAGTTTAAAAATGTGTACATAGAAACATTTGCTACTTATCTGTAGAATGTAGTAGAGACAGTTCCCATTTTTTTATTATTCACAAGGGCCTGTCAAGGAGTGCTATTCAGAACAACTTCTTATTTTATTTATTTATTTTTGGACTTATATACCGCCCCATAGTGCTACAAGCACTCTCCGGGCGGTTTACAATTTCATTATACAGGCTACACATTGCCCCCCCCCCCCAGCAAGCTGGGTACTCATTTTACCGACCTCAGAAGGATGGAAGACTGAGTCAACCTTGAGCCGGCTACCTGGGATTTGAACCCCAGGTCGTGAGCACAGTTTTAGCTGCAGTACAGCGTTTTAACCACTGCGCCACGAGGCTTCTGTACCCATCCCTTTAATAACAGCTTGATGCAGAGTCAGATGTATGTTAGAAGATGAGAATGTTTAACAGACAGTGAAAAGCCTTCCTTGCTGATTTTTGCATATTAAACCTTTACTTCAAGATTCAAGAACAAATTCAACTTTTCCTGACCAGTTTGCAACCGTATCTATCCTTCACACAAAATAGTAAATACAGTAAAAAGAAAGATTGTATGCTTTTACTGTTCTCTATTTTTGCATTCTTTTCTTTCAAATCAATATCATAATCTCAAACTCAGAGGGGTTTCTCTGTGAATGCCCTATCAAGACATTCCCTCTGGCCATGGAAATATAGATGCGGTACCAAATTAAAGTAGGCAATATGCAGATTTCCCCCTCAAACAGGAGTGCTGCAAAAACAGCAACAACAAACAACACAGGAACTTAGAAAAATGAATAAAAAAGTAGACTGAACAAATATTGTCAGTTATCCTAATTGCAAGACCATTTGAGCTGCTGACATCTTAAGGCTGGGCAGGTATCTATGTGAAGGAAGGTGCAGAATGGACAAAAGAGCTGAACAGTGGAAGAGTGAGTGGAATAAAACGATATACATGAAGAAGAGATTGCATGTGGGAAGGGGCAAGGTAGAGGCAGAATGCGGGGGGGGCACATGTGACTAGAAACCTGCCTTATTAAAGAGCAATCTATACATTACTTCTACTGCACATTGCACTTCCTTACAAAGAGACTCCATTACCAGTATAATACCAAGCACTGGTACATGGTTTCCTTTGGAGCAATTTCTTATGCACAGACTAGGTGAGAGAGGTTGAATTAAGAACCAACCAATCATTTAAAAAAAAACCCAGTTCTGTACCTGTGAAGATTATCAATTATCCAGGTGAGGTTATCTGGAAGATGAGTCATGGCAACTGGACTTCTTTCTTATTAGGTTGAAACGTTTTGATACTCATCCACTGTAAATGTTTGTTGCTTGTATATTTTGTCTCCAAACTCACTCTCTGCCATGGTTTGGTAAAAATTAAGCAAACAAACAGTAGGTATTCTGAATGCCACTTTGTATTATATGTCAGTGGCTTGTTTCAGTAGAGCTAACATGCCAAGATGCCATATTTCAACACTTACATACCCGTAACATGGTAGTGTATTGCACCTTTGTCAGCAAGACCCAGGTACACCTCTGCGAGGTGTTTCAGCCATTCTCATTCCCCAAATGAACTGCTTCAGCTATTCTACAATGCATCAACCCAAAAACTGATTTGGAAGATGGGACAGCCACACACCTCAGACTTTCTAGTTTGTAGTCATCAGTATTCAGAAGTTGTGGGCCATTTACTATGCTAGTCTGGAAGAACAATGCCAAAAGAGACATGAAAGAACAGCTTTGTGTATTTTATCCACATGCATGACATGTGAAATGGAAGGACTCAAGCACATCCAATCCTCCTTTTTATTTAAGAAAAGGATTCCAACTTCCTCTGCATAAGTAAAATGTGGCAATCACATGGCTAAATGGGCCTAATGAATCATACTAAGGTTTGAAAAGTTACAAGGGTGCTGGCAAGTGCAAACTGGTGGCAATGTTAGAAGGTGAGAGAAATGGAGCAGCAAGTAGCCACACTTAAGGCTATAAGGGAAGATGAAGTATACACTGATAGAAGTCTTGAGCAGCAGCAGACAATGGAGGCACTGGAGGTGGAACAGCAACAAGGGAAGGCAGAGGAAGAGAATGCCAAGGAGAAAGGAAACCGTGGAGGAAGCCCAATGGAAAAGAGTCACAGTTAGGAGCAAAAGGAGGAGAGCACTATCTTCACCAGCAGAACTGCAAAACCACTTTCAGGTTCTTGATGAGGAGTCTTGGCAGACAGCAAACAGACACAGTAAAAGAGGAGGCTTCGCAGGAGTGTATGAGAGGGACTGAAACTCAGCCAAGCAGAGGCAAGACAAAGAGAAGAGTAGTTGTAACAGGAGACTTCCTACAGCATGGGGCTGAAACTGAAGTATGTTGGGAAGATCCATGAACCCTCCAGGTATGCTATTCCCTAAAGCACAGATTTAAGGATGTGACAGAATGACTGACATCACTCATAAAACCTATGGATGCATATCTCTTCCTTCTCATCCATGTGGGAACAAACAACACAGCCAAGAGCAACTTTGAAGAAATCATATCAGACTTTGAATCTCTGGGAAAGAAACTTAAGGACTTTGGGGCCCAGATAGTTTTCTCATCCTTCCTATCAGTACTTGGAAAAGAAATAGATGAATGACTGGCTACGAAAGTGGTGTTGATGTGGGGGATCTGGTTTTTGGGATCATGGGCTAAGCTTTCTGGAAGATGGACTGCTAGCAAGAGATGTCCTGCACCTGTGAGGAATGGGAAGAATATGTTTGGCCACAGCATGAGCAAGAGATGCCCTGCACCTGTGAGGACTGGGAAGAATATGTTTGGCCACAGCATGAAGAACTTAATTGGGAGGGTTTTAAACCCAATTAGAAGGGGGAGGGAGAAAAAAAGCACAGAGGAAAAGATGAAGCCTTATGCACATAAAAGGAACAGACCGAACAGTTCTAGTTGAGGACATAATAAGATTAATATTAATAATAACATTCATAAAAATGTACAAAGAAAAGCAGGCCACAAATCACACAATCTCTGGTGTCTATATACGAATGTCAGGAGAACAGGAAACAAATAAGAAGAACTGGGAATCTCAGTCGCACTGAGAGCATCTGGATCAATGCAGTTGGCATTTGTCCCACAGAGAGCATCTGGATCAATGCAGTTGGAGTGAAAAAGAGAAGGAACTGACCACCAAATCAAGAAGAAGATGCAGATGAAACTTTCGAAAAACAAACTGCAAAGATTTCAAAGGAACACAATGTAATAAATCAAGAAGATGCAGATGAAACTTTGAAAAACAAATTGCAAAGATTTCAAAGGAACACAATGTAATAGTGACGGGAGATTTCAAGTTTGGCCCTTCCAAGAGATTCTTGTCTTGTGTAACTGATACAAAAGTGGAGAAAGAAACTAGAGGACTAGCTATCCTCGACTTGATTCTGACCAACAGAGATGACTTGGTGGAGGAAGTGGTAGTAAGGGGAACTCTGGGCAAAAGTGACCATGTTCTACTAGAATTCTTGATTCAAAGGAAACCTAAGCAGAGTGTAGCCACACATATATGCTGGGTTTTTTTAAAGCCAGTTTTAATAAACTCAGGATAATGATAAGTACGGTTCCATGGGAGGAGATCCTAACAAGAAGAGGAGTCCGAGAAGGGTGGAGGTTACTCAAAAAGGAAGCTCTAAAGGCACAATTACTGTACAAACAATTCCAACAAGAAAAAAACTCAAAAAGGAAGTTCTAACAGAACATTTACAAACAATTCCAACAAGAAAAAAGGTGGAGGATACCCCCCCAAAAAAAGCCAGTGTGGTTTCACGAAAAGTTCAGAAAGACCTGAAAACAGAAAAGGACACATACAGGAAGTGTAAAGGTGGCCAGGCCACAAAGGAAGAGCACAGAGAAGAAAGGTGGCCAGGCCACAAAAGAAGAGTACAGAGAAGTAGCAAGGAACTGCAGGGATGGCATTAGGAAGGCAAAATCTGAGAATGAGCTGAGGTTAGCTAGAGACACTAAAAGCAACAAAAAAGTATTCTTCGGGTATATGCGTAGCAAAAGACAAAGAAAAGAAACAGTGCATAGCAAAAGACAAAAGAAACAGTGGCTCAGCTACTCAATAGAGATGGAAAAATGATAATGGACAACAAAGAAAAGGCAGAAGTGTTCCATTCCTATTCTAGCTCAATCTTTTCCCAAAGAACAGACGATAAGCCTCCAGAGAAATGTGAAGTGCAAGTGGACTGACAGGATTGATGCTGTAGATTGATAAACAAATAGTCAAAGAATTGCTTATTGCCCTGAACAAGTTCAAATCTCCAGGGATGGATGAACGGCATCCAATAGTATTGAAGGAACTAGCTGAAGAACTCTCGTATTGAAGGAACTAACTGAAGAACTCTTGGAACCACTGTATGTTATTTTCTTGAAATCATAGGAAATGGCACTGTTTGTTATTTTCTTGAAATCATAGGAAATGGGTAAGGTACCAGACTACTGGAGGGCTAATGTTGCCCCTATCTTCATAAACGGCAAAGAGGAGGAAGCAGGGAACTACATACCAGTCAGCCTGACATCAGGGAAAATTCTGGAGCAGATTATAAAGCAGTCACTATGCAAGCACCTAGAAAACAATGCAGTGATAACTAGAAGCCAGCATGGATTTGTCAAGAACAAATCCTGCCAGACTAATCTGATCTCATTTTTTGATCGGGTAACCTCTCTGATAGACAGACAGAATGCTGTAGACATCATACATCTTGACTTCAGCATAGCTTTTGACAAATTGCCCCATGATATTCTAATTAGCAAACTAACTAGATGTGGAATAGATAGAACACCTGTCAAGTGGATACACAGTTGGATACAGAATTGTGCTCAAAGGGTGTTAGCGTCTCTATTGCCCCATCTGGTTTTTCTATTACACATTTGGATCCTGTTCCTCTCCTAAGTG